CAACACAAAAGCATCACCCTTGCCGAGCCTCAGGGCACACTCAAAACAAGAAGGCACCAACATGACATGTAAACCCAACTTTGCGCCGGGCGGGACATTAAGCAAAACCAGACTGGCGAGCTGCTCTGGCTGGATACTGGCGGGATCCACTGAAGAGTACTGGCGAGCCGCTCCGGCTCGACACTCGCCGGATACTCGGCAGGATCCACCGGCAAGGGATACTCAGCGGGATTCGGGATACTCGGCGGGATCCACTGGCGAGCTACTCTGGTGGGATACTCGGCGGGATCCACTGGCGGGCTACTCTGGGATACTCAGCGGGATAGTCGGCGGGATCCACTGACGGGCTGCTTTGCTGGGATACTTGGCGGGATCCACCGAGGAGCTACCCTGGCGGGATCCACTGGCGGGCTGCTCTGGTGGGATACTCGGCGTGGTGGGATACTCGGCGGGATCCATTGGCGAGCAGCTCTGGCGGGATACTGGGCAGGATCCACTGGCCAGCTGCTCTGGCGGATGCTCGGCGGGATCCACTGGCGAGCCGCACTGGCAGGATACTCGGCGGGATCGCTCTGGCGGGATACTGGGCGGGATGCACTGGCGAGCAGCTCTGGATACTCGGCGGGATCCACTGGCGAGCTGCTCTGGCGGGATACTCGGATCCACTGGCGAGCTGCTCTGGCGGGGTACTCGGCGGGATCCACTGGCGAGCTGCTCTGGCGGGATACTGGCGGGATCCACTGGCGAGCTGCTCTGGCGGGATACTCGGCGGGATCCATTGTCGAGCTGCTCTGGCGGGATACTGGGCGGGGGCGCGGTGCAGAAGCATCGCAACCGCGGATTCCAACATAAAATCTAACAACCCCTTCCTGTCGGGTGGGGAACAAACACAAACACAAACACAAACACAAACACAAACACAAACACACAAACACACAAAAACACAAAACACACAAACACACACACACAAACACACACAAACACACACACACACAGACACAAACACACACAAATACACAAACACACACACACACCACACACACATCATACAACACAACACAACACCACCCAACACTCACTCACAACACACACCACAAACACACACACACAAACACACACCAAACACCCACACAAAACACACACACACACAAATCACAAATCATCAAAACACACACACATACACCACACATAACAAAATAAAACACTCTCAACCCAACACACCACACACACACACACACACACACACACACACTCACACACACACACACTCACACACACACAACCACACAACATACCACCACTCTACACACCACACACACCACACACACACACACACACACACACAGACACACAGACACACAGACACAGACACACAGACACACAGACACACAGACACACAGACACACAGACACACAGACACACAGACACACAGACACACACACACACACACTTGTGGTACTTCCCAGAGGAAAGTAGTCCGATTCCGTCTGCATTTCTTCCAGTATGGGATCAGCCCGTAGCCACCCATGTTCATGCGACAAGCAAAGTCAGGTGAGCCAAAGCACACTTTGGAGGCACAGACAAGCTGAGCGGAAGCAACGGCCAGAACAGCATCACTTTCTCCGATTGGGGAACCAACAGCTGAAATCATACACATCTGCCTGCAGGTACACGTGGGTGATCAGCCCACGTTTCCCTCACCATACCATAGCTTCGTTGCGTCAGGTAGGTATGGCGAGCCTGACGCCCCTGCTGGACAAATCCGGAAGCTGTGGTCTCCAACTCCGCGTTCGGCTGTATGGTTTTTTTCTCGGGGGCCCCAAGCCAACGTCGTCGAACTGTTCAGATCCGAGAAAACGGAAGAAAACCGAAAAGAGGGGCCCTGTCAAACGTGTTTACAGATCCGACTTGCGTGGCTTCGCTGCTCCAATGAAAAACGGACGGGTGCGAGCATCGGACCTTAGTGCGTATCTGTTTTGAGTTGGACTCCTAAACCAAACAACGTCGTCGAACTGTTCAAGTCAAAAAGAAGAGAAACTAAACAGGAACTGCCCGGTCAAGCATGTCTCCGGACGCAATTTGCGTCGAATGTCTTTGCGACCAGACGTACACTCACACACATGTACTCCATGTAGGAGTAGTCAGCATCGTTGAGAGCTTTTTCCGCGGCCTCTTTGAAGCCCTGGAGTCAGGAATTTCTCACCGATTACAACGCCACCAAAAAAACCACCTTAAACGCTTTAAAGTGCCTCCGTGCAGTTGTGGCACGGTGTGTGTTGAAGTCAGGCTCCCAAAAAACAAAAATTAAGTCAGGGGGTCGTCAGACGGCCAAAAGAAGTTCGGAACCGCTGACCCAAGGTCGTTACTTAGTGCATCAACGAGATCACCCGAGACGGCCACATTTGAGAGGCACATTTGAACAGCACCCCCTGCTGGAAAAAACCGGAAGCTGTGGTCTCCAACTCCGCGTTCGACTGTATGGTGTTTTCCCGGGGGCCCCAAGCCAACCAACGTCGTCGAACTGTTCAGATCCGAGAAAAACGGAAGAAAACCGAAAAGAGGGGCCCTGTCAAACGTGTTTACAGATCCGACTTGCGCGGCTTCGCCGCTCCAATGAAAAACGGACGGGTGCGAGCATCGGACCTTAGTGCGTATCTGTTTTGAGTGGGACTCCTAAACCAAACAACGTCGTCGAACTGTTCAAATCAAAAAGAAGAGAAACTAAACAGGAACTGCCCGGTCAAGCATGTCTCCGGACGCAATTTGCGTCGAATGTCTTTGCGACCAGGTACTCCATGTAGGAGTAGTCAGCATCGTTGAGAGCTTTTTCCGCGGCCTCTTTGAAGCCCTGGAGTCAGGAATTTCTCACCGCTTACAACTCCACCAAAAAAATCTCGGCTGATTCTTCTGGCGATCATGACATCCAGGGCTCTACGGGCTTTGCCCCCACTTCCCAGCAAACTCCGTGCACAACATGAGCGGCAGAGGGTATGACCCAGCATTTTCCAGCTGAGTAGTTCAGAGCCCCGGTGGCCTCAGCCATTCTTAAAGCGGCTTCCTCCCCACCACTTCGAATTGAGCAGCCTTTGCCCCAGCTTATCCCTGACACAACAAGACTGGCCTCGTTTTTGGCGGCCTGCCAGGTGTTGCACAGGACCCGGCCGAATTCCCAAGCATTCGCGGGGTCGTCTTTTGCGACTAACTGCCCAGCAGAGAAAAAGCACTGCGACCAGTCGAAGTGAGCGCGGCTTGGCAGAACGCGGCCTCTGTCCAAGATGCCTTTCAGGCCTCCTGGTGTTGTGGCGTGCGCGAACATACAGTGGGCACACTCTCGAGAGGGCAATGGCACTGGAATTGCTCCGGCTCTTTGGCGCAGCGCTGGAAGCTTCAGCATTTGGAAACGGAAAACGTTGTTGGGTTCTGGCTGTGAAACGCCGCGCCATTCTGACGGGTCTGTCTCAAAGAACCAAACAGGGCCGCAGTCCTTCACGGACATCTTCGACTTGACAAGTGTGCGTGCTATGTACAGAAGAAAACTGTGTGAGGTGACATGTTGCTGGTTCATATTGTTACCAATGTAGGTAGCAATATCCAGCTCAGCCATACTGGCACTATGCTCAACAGTAGGGAAAACGCTAAAAGGAGCACCCGTTTGGGTAAACCTTGGAGTGTTTGAAAGACTTTGCGGCTGTGGCACATGCCAAACACCCGGCGGGGGATCCACAAACTGGGACGCTGTTGTGGATGGCTGGGTTCACTGTCTTTTTGTTGGCTCCGTCTCTTCTATGGTCAGATTCGAAACTGGGCAAGGGCTCTGATTCACCCATGCGATCACAGCGTTTAGCTGGCTCGAGTCAAAATCCAGTTCCAGGCGCAGGCGTGAGGGGGCCATGTTCTATCAGCCGGATATGTTCCAGTAGCACTTTGGCTCTTGTCGACTGAGCCAATGTTGCTTAGGTAGCGCAACACCATCGAACCATTGAGCCCGTATCTTGTTCAGTGGGAAGCACGGGTGCGACATCAAGGTTGCGAGATCAAGGTTTTGGAATCAAGGCTGCGTTGTCGCACAGTGACTCGGAGCGGAAAACAAGGTTAAAAAGTCAAGGTTAGTCATCTCGGTTGGATTATCACGGTCCTGAAATGGCACCATTTCTTCAGAAAAGTGGGTATCAAGGATTTGTACAAGGCTGTCCCTTTTCACGACTCGATCGGATCAAGGATTGGAAAAAGCGACTTGGCCCCCCAGTCGATGCTGGAGTGACGACAGGTCCGCGAGCGGTGTCCCTGCCGAAAAGGTACACACTTGTGGTACTTCCCAGAGGAAAGTAGTCTGATTGCGTCTGCATTTCTTCCAGTATGGGATCAGCCCGTAGCCACCCATGTTCATGCGACAAGCAAAGTCAGGTGAGCCAAAGCACACTTTGGAGGCACAGACAAGCTGAGCGGAAGCAACAGCCAGAACAGCATCACTTTCTCCGATTGGGGAACCAACAGCTGAAATCATACACGTCTCCCTGCAGGTACACGTGGGTGATCAGCCCACGTTTCCCTCACCATACCATAGCTTCGTTGCGTCAGGTAGGTATTCAGACCCGAGAAAACGGAAGAAAACCGAAAAGAGGGGCGCTGTCAAACGTGTTTACAGATCCGACTTGCGCGGCTTCGCCGCTCCAATGAAAAACGGACGGGTGCGAGCATCGGACCTTAGTGCGTATCTGTTTTGAGTGGGACTCCTAAACCAAACAACGTCGTCGAACTGTTCAAATCAAAAAGAAGAGAAACTAAACAGGAACTGCCCGGTCAAGCATGTCTCCGGACGCAATTTGCGTCGAATGTCTTTGCGACCAGACGTACACACACACACGCCTACAAGCCGACACATGCAACACATGCTGCATGATGAGCGCACTTTATGGAGATGCGTGGAGATGCATCCCTTTCACGTAGATTTGTGTAGGTAAACGTGTGCATACTTGCAGTATCCGTAAAACCGCGGCCAGGATGGTACAAAGTGCAGAAAGTCAAGAAGGCTCAAGTGGAACCGGAGTCTGAGTCTGAGGAGGAGGCCTGGAAGATCCTGAGGCTTTGAAGCCACTGTGGCATAGTTGGGCGTTTGGTTGAATTGCGACCCTTTTATGGGGTCCAAATGGGAAACACCGTTTGGCCATGTTGGGTTTCCCACAAAAAGACCCATGGTTGTGGGAAACGTGGTTTCAGTGCCAATTTTGATACCACGGGAAAGCCCTTCAAAGGGATGGTGCATGTTGGTATCACGGAAAAGGGCATTGCCCGTACAAGCATGCATTGTTCTTTTGAATGGCAGGCCTTTGGTTGCATTGAAATGACCTTAACTTGGGACAACAAATGTTTGACGCTGGACAGCCAACAAATGCTTCATGTGCAGTTCTCCAAGACCTGGACAGCCAGCAAGAAACCAGGAGCAAGGCTTGGACAAGGTCAAAGACAGGACCAAGTTTAGGTTGAGAATGGGTGTGAATTTGACCGGCGGACGCTTTCCCAGACCTGTTATGCCCCTTTCTCCTTTTTTTTTTTTTCTCGGAGGGGTTTCCATTCAAAGTCAACTAGCAACAAAATACACAATGAGTGCCCCATGGCCGCTGCAGGCCTGGGTATGTCCACCAGGCACTTTGCAGGGGTTCCCGCGGGGTCACCAATTGAACGTTGCAACCAGCACCAGGTGACACCGGAGATCGACCAGGAGGCGGCGGAAAGGGAGGCAGCAGCGAAAGAGGCAGCGGCCAAGACCCGTGCGGAGGTGGAAGCGGCCAAGGCAGGGCTTAGATGACTTGCTTGGATGGGCAGCGCGCAAAACCGATTTCAGCAATTTCAGTAGGTACTACCTCGCTTCATAAAACTTGTAGTAAAGCGTCTAGGATGCTTAACCATACAGAAACAAATGTCGATGGCGCATACTGGTGTCTGGCAGGTTTGGGTAACATGACTTGGAACCACTTGGAACCACGAGCGCCTGCAAATTCACAAGTAATGTGAGGAGCATGTAACATGTAACTTAGCTGACATGGAAATTCTTTGCAAACACGCTTACAACCATGGTTGCGCAAACCACTCAGCTATCTCCAACATCATCCCGGTATATGAGAATTTTGCATGGTCCATTTGACATTCAACCAAATCTAAGCTCCTTAACTTAACATGGCGAGCTCACCAATGTGGTTGGGGTAGGGGGGAGGGAAGCTCACCATGATGCAAGTCCTTTACTTGGGAATCCCTCATTTTTTGCTGCGACTGAGAAGCGTCCAACGCGCTTCTTGACTAGTCTTGGTCTCTCAGAAAGGCTACTATGGGCACGTACCAAGAAAGGGGACCGTGAAATCCACGGCGCATCTGATTTGTTGTTCGCCTGAGCGGCCCAAAAGCCAAGCCCGAGCCAACCTGACCCCCTTCAGCCGGGATCAACGGAATGACTGACTCCCTTCCCCCTTGTTTGCTGGGTTCCTGGATTCCCTGTCCAGTGATTCACCCATGGGGTTTCCAGGGTCATTGGTAGGAAGATTGCGCAGGCTCCCTGTGGTGAGATTAAGGTTGCACTCTAAATGGCACTGGGTTGAGACACCTTGCTCGCTTGCCCGTGATGTTCTACAAACGTTCTGGCTGCCCTTGCCGGAATAAGACTGTAGGCATGTGCTTGCGGAAACCACTAAGAATCATACATGGCAAAGGCTCAACTCAGGCGCATGATTTGATACTTAGACGCCACTGCCAGGCAGGTAAACCAAGAATGTTGACAAGGCCGCCATCTACCAGCCTCAAATGCTTACGGTCAGCGAGCCCTTCCTTGCTCTGGGCGGATCATTATGTCTACCCTTTCCTTGTCTCTCAGGCCAAATATGAAATTGAACCAGAACACATCATTCTCTGTGTGCCGGGATGTATGTGGCAAGTGGGTACTGGTTGCTGTGAATTGGTTGCCAGGAGCTGTGGCAAAAGATACGCAGTCAGGCCAACGCTGAGGACGCGTTGGAATCAGTGAAATGGACCCTGGAAAGCCCAAAGGTGGGTATGTGGGCCTCTTCGTTCACACCTATATAGAGTTCCTGGACATTCAACTTTATAAAAAGAACATTGTACTGGTACACAACAAGTGTAGTTGTTTCTGACAAATCTGCTGAAGATGTGAGTCTCAAAGCCAAGGTGAGAAGGATACTCTCGAAAATTTGTTTGTGTTTGGAGGCTTGGTAATCTGTTCATCTTGCGCCAAAGGGAAGCCGTCAAGAAAAGAAGGTCATTCCTTTTTGACAATACCCAAGTGATGTTGACCCTTTGAAGCCAACCACGGCGAGTATTGCAGAGGGAAGGTTGCCCGAAAAGTGAAGTCCCTGCAACATGGAACAGCCCCCACTCAACCAAGAGTTTGTTAATTCTGGCTTTCCAACAACCCTCGCCCGAATGTGCTAGACATTGAGACACTGGGTCATGTCTACATCCAGGGGTTCCAGGACTCGGCCCGCGAGCAGTTCGCTCAATCCTTGCCCCCGGGGGTCGCCAAGTTCGCGGCGTTGCTGGTGAACCGCTTCGGGTCTTTGGAGCCGCGTGACCGGTGAAACCGCTGGCTTGCTTTCAAGAGACTTTCGAGGGACGGTGTTTGTAGGTAGGGAGGTTATATACCCCTTATATAACGTATATAAGAGGTTCATACAATGGTACCATATTTTTAATGGTGTACAAGCATCCATACCTTCAAACCCCGCAGCTGAAAATGCCCTTGACCATTTGTTCACTGAAAGCTGTGTTTTCCAAGCTCGTCACCAACAAACATGGTTCCAAATCTTTTTTTTGCAGGCAGTAGCTTGCTCCCGCTCGGTTGGTTCGCATTGGCTGGGATTCGCTTGGATCGGAAACAGGGGTGGTTAGGATTGGTGACATGATTGGCGTTTGGGATTGGTGGGTTGGTGGTTGGGATTGGTGTTCTGCGTAGGCCAAGTGGAAAAACACCCTAAACGGATTCGGAAACGCAGTTTTGCGATGCCGACTTTGGGTTTTACGAGGGCAAGCCACGGATTTGGGATTAGTTGGAGCTTGGAGGGGATCTCTTGGGGTCTGAGTGTCCGGATTGCAATGCCAGGTCATGGCATTTGACCATCCTAAGGCGGGCCTTCAACAACTTCGACTACAACCGGAAGGGCAAGGTCACCAGAGGCAGGTTGTTGCTTGTTTTGAAAGCTCCATCAAGAATCAGGTGGGTGCGTTTACAAGGGGGATCCGCTGCCTTTACTTTGCCCAGCACGCCACCCGTTTGCCAAATGTACGTTGACTTGGCCAAATATTTTTACAGCACTCCCCGGACTTAGCTCGTTCTGGAAGGCCTGAACCCTGTCGAGGCCAGTTCCAAACCACCTTGGCCACCATCCGCCTGAACACGGATGAAGTGGTAGGCCTGCCTTCCAAGAAGGTCTTCAGGTTGATCGCCGCCGGGGCGCAGGCAAGGGATCGACGAGACGGGGAACCGCGAATGGTGACTGGGGAAGGCGCCCTATTGACATTGCAGATATGTGATTGTATGTGGTTGTGTGTTTGTTTGTTTGGCAGGGTGCTGTGCAATAACTTTGTTGCTTGCTGGCGGAGGCTTTGCTTCTAAGGCAGAGGTTTGTTTTACCTTTGTGCGTGCATCCTTGAAGGCACCGGGGAAAAGCCAGGGACAAAGGTTCCCACTTTCACAATGCCCAGGCGTAGGTGCGAGAGCCATCCCCTAAACCGGGGGTCCCTACCTTGATGTTTTGAGCCATCGAGAAGCTAACCTTCCAATCAAAATCCAGTGCCTAGGGAACCTGCCCATGTCAAGCCATGGAGAACGAGGTCCTGGCAGGAAGGAAATGGTCTCACAAGGAAATTTTGTTTGCGTACCGACACTCATGAGAAAGCGGAAACGAACCACCATCATGTGCCATTGTGCTTACCCCTGATGAGGGTCCCGTGCTTATGATTGCAATAGCTATTGCAGATGAATGAAGCGCCAGGGGGGAAAGGATGGTGTTTAACCCGTTGGGCGTTTGGACTGAGGGGCGGGCTTTGGATGGGGAACCCGTCTCAGCGCGTCCTTTCGAAAGCAAATGGGGTTTCACTACTTGGCTTCCCAAAAGAAGGGGGTCCTTTTGTCGTTTGTTTTTGTCGATGCAAAACCGCTATGTTCATTGAGCGGCCATATGGAGGCCTCTCCGCATGTGCCACTAGGAGTGACAGACCGAAAATCAAGCCAGCTGACGGATAAAGGTCCCTTCTGGGTAAAGATTTGGCAACATCGTACATAGTTGAAATGATCAAAGAACGGAGTTATCCCTGGGTTGAGGGTTGAACGTGGACGACTTGGGGGGATATGTTTGTGACGGTGTGAATTGTTTCAGACGTCACACGAGAAACATGTTTTTTTCACATTGCTCCCCTGAGTCTGCGCTCGAGATCACTCTGGAGCAGTGGCAAAACTTCTTTGATCAGGAGCTCACCGGCGAAGCCCCTTGGATCATGTGCACGCCCAATCCTGGTTCTCAGTGGGGAATTTTCGGAAATGAGCCCTATTCGCCATCAACTGGATTTCCTTTTAGGGGATCCGCTTCTGGTTCATTCCCCAAACTCCAAGGACATTTTTCTGGAAACCGGCCAGACATTCGATATGAGCCAACCTGCTTTGGGCTTGGGCTTCCTTCAGAAAGCCCTGGGGCCTGTTTCTGCTTCAACAAACTCAAGCCTTTTACATCAGGTACCCTGTAGTCGGTGGTTCTTGCAGAGGGTAAATGGAGTTTCCCACCCCTGGAACACCTCCGAACCAATCCAAACCCACCAAGTAGAGGCAAATCCCCTTGAAAGTGGCAAATTAGTCACGGGTTTGGCTTAAAAGCCCTAGGCTCTGTCTCTTCAACAAACTAACCCGTTCAATCAAATTACCCTCCAATTGGTGGTTTGTATCTGGAATTGACTGGCTTTTGCAGAGGGTAAACGAGTTGTCCACCCCAAAAAAGCCAAACCACCGAGGCTGATTTAGGAGAGCCCTACCCTGCTGTCCCTGGTTCCCTGGGCATTCCCTCGCCGTCGCCGTCTGAGGACGCGTCCTTTTTGCTGACGGAGGACAGGGGGTCGCAGGCCCCGAAGCGCTGGGCCCAGATGAAGCAGCTGCCCAGCAAGGCGAATTCGGAATCGTGGAATTGCGACCGTGAATGACGGGTGGGGCGTCGGGGTGGAGGGTGGGATTGCGCCGGTTGGGCCGGTTGGGCTGGTTTGGGGTTGGGAGGTGGGAGGGAACTGGGTGGTTTGGGCCAAAAGCTGTTTGAATGTCATGCCTTCCACTTGAAAACCCGCTACGAGCGAAGAGGAGTTGGTTGCAGCATGCCTGGTTGCATTGAAGGGAACCCAGAAGGAGGGTGTACTACTTCCTACAAGTAAGCCCTAAGAAATGGCTTTAGGCGGGTACTTGGGAGGAAGCAACGAGCAACGGGAGGGTGTGGGAGTTTGGGAATGGGCCGAGATCCTATGACTCATCACTGCAGTGGGGTCCCTGTCAATCCTTGGGTTTTCCTAACGAGTGGTTGTCCATTGCGGGTTGTGGAAAATTGGATTGGCCGACAGGGTGTTGAATCTCCGAGCCGTTCAGAAATAAAGAATCGCTGCGAGAGGCTCTTCAGCTGCTGGTGGAGCAGGGTGAGCTAGCGGACAAGGATGCGGGTGACAGTGGCGATGAGTCACCCTAAGGATTTACCAGGCACCACCCCAAAAGGGCCTCCAAGACCCAAGAGGGCGAGAATCGGGAGATTCCGGGTTGCTTCACTGCTCTTGGCATGTGTTCGTTGTTTTTTTCTTGTAGGTTTGGCTGTGTTTAAGCGTGGCTGCAAAGAACAAAGTTGTTTGGCTAAGATACCAAGGGGCAAACAGACGCAAGTAGCTACCCAGGGCTAAAAGACTTCGGACTCCTGCGTTTCGTTCTTCTGCTTGGGGCGAAAGGGGGCGATAATTTGTTTCAATTAGTGACAGGCAAGCCACCCCTGAACCAGGAGAAATTCCCTAAGCGGGGTCCCAAATGGAGCTGCCGCAAAGAACGCGATGACTGTTTCATGCTCTTTTGTTACTTTTTGAGCTTGATTTTGATTCCCTGAAAGCCAACATCAGGAAATTGATAAGCCCTCGGGTTACTAGCTGCCAAGAAACCAAACATAGCAGGTGGTTTTTAAATATATCCTTCAAGGTAACCTGTTTGAGATCCCCTGAAGGAGGAGCTGGCGAAGGAGGCTCTGTCAAAGCACGGCCAGCGCAAGGCGGGAAACACGCGGGGGCCGAGCGCCCTTGAAGTCCACAACTTCAACTCACTCCCTGAGTTCCTAGACTTAATACTTTCTGGGAAGGCACATTTAGGGGTAATAATAAGTTCGGACTTTTTGAGCCCATCCACTCAGGACGTGAAACAGTGTCGTGTTCTAGCCGCAAAATGCATGAATGCGGATGTGAATGCATGCAAGTACGACAGCTTTGGAGTAAAGTATGGAGAACTGTTTCTTCCATTTGCTCAAGATATGTTTATCTTCCCCTGCGGGTTTCAAGGGGATGTTTCACTACTGGAAATATGTTTGTTTCTTACAGTGGCCTTAAAGCAAGTGGAGGATTTGGTAGCGGAATGTTTTGTGCGTGTGTTTTCTCAGCCCGCGTTCAATTCTTGTCCTTGGAATTTGTTCATTTCGACCACGTGTCAGCGTATGGACCCAGTTCGAGTGAACCGGCGCGGCTTGACCAACATCGGAGTTTCTGTTTGTTGTACTTTGCTTCTCTTTGCTTCTTTGTTCGTCGAATGGTGGCTTGCTGTGCGTTGTTTGGCTGGGCCCAAAGCAAAGATGAGTCTGCCTCATAACTGACGAGGAGGTGTTTGGTCACTGGGAACGTCTTCCCTGCATCCCTCTCGGTGGCTGGAACTGTTAGACCTGTGCCGAGACAAAGCGAGGCTTGTTTTGGGTGGTAAGGGGCGAAGGGTATGAATGCATTTCCTCAGGTCCCGAAAAGTGGCGATTCTTGATGAGACCTCTGACTCGGGACTCGTTGGGGTGGTCAAGCTGGTTCAACTGGTTATAACCAGGGTTGCTAACCACTTAACATGGGGTGTTTTGGCGAGCCGTCTGAGGTTTTACAGATGCATATTTGTGGATCCCGTCCGATTCGCATGTCCCGAGTAGCCCGGCCGAACCTGGCCACGTAATATTGAGTTCCCCCGCCCACACTGCTATTTAAAATTCCGCGCAGGGGGGGAACTATCAATACGGTGGACCTTTTGAACTGGCAAGGGATTACATGTGCTTCCACCTGGGCTTGCCGGGGATGCTCATCAACCCCTTTGCGGTTCACAGCAATTTGACCCAGAATGTCAATGTGGAATGCCCTGTGGTTGGAGGACATAAGCCCATGTGATTAAAATCCACTGCAGGCTCATCCTCGCGAACCAAACGCCGTCATTCCTAGAGGCATTTCCTTTTGGGGAGGCTCTTTTTTGGGTTCTATGTTGATTTGTTGTTTTTGACCCACTGGGCCCCATCCGAGCTGAATAAACACAATGCAACCCGCATGGTAAAGGGCTTTGTCGGGTTAGCGCCGGAGGTTGGTCAGGTCGCTGCAACGGCTAGGCGCGGGGCCCAACATCCGATGGCTTTCTTGCTTACTGCTCTTCGCATGTGTGTCTTTTTTGCTTGGTCCTGTTCAGTTCAAGCGGGGCAAAGAGCAACGGGTTAGATCAGGCGCCAAGGGTTCGACTCGGACCCCGCTTTCAGCAAGATGATGTTCACTGTGGGACAACCCGGGGGGGTGGGGGTGGAGCGCTAGCCCAGTGCCAGCAGCAGCTGTTGTTCAGAAAACTGAGCATGTGCAAGATCCTGCACCATTTGATAAGTGGTTATTCATGCGGCTTCATCCATTCGGATTAGTTCGAAGGGGCTTTTGTCCACTTTATGAGCCTGTGGTGGTCCCCTTCGAAGCTTTCTCTTGGATGAAAAACATTCATGGAAGCGAAACTTACGCAAGGCAATGGCCAGGAGCTAAGGCAGACACCCTTGCACTCCCTGAGTTTCTGCGTGTTATTTTTCATTTGCTGAAATGTAAATTTCCACGTCGGTTTCAAGGGGATCTATCAATGCTGGAAATGTGTACTTCTACAGTTATACTTGTTGGGCAGACTGCTGGTGAGATGTCGGTGAAGGCCGAGAGTCTTTCCAAGGGGTTTGGGAGGTTGGCCTTGCTTATGCTGGTCATACACTGTCAACCAAGGGAGGCGCCAGCACATGACGTGCTGCTTTGAAGGAGGGGATTGCACCGTACAGGACTGCAACGAAACTCTGGTAGCATACCCCATGTGCTGCATCTATTTCCTGAAAACCAGCAGGAGGTTCTGCCGAGTGTTTTGCCAGATGCCCACAACTTCCTGTAGAGTTTCCAGTGGCAGGTATCTTGGACAGCTGGAAGCGGCAAGTTGCAAGCCCGCGAAGTGACCGATGCACAGCCTATCCCGTTGCGCCCCTCAGGCGCTCGGATGGCGAGAAGCACCCCGATGGCGAGCGGCGACTGAAGCGGCTTCGGCGCGATGGGAGAGTTTGGTCCGTAATGAGTTGGTACCCTCCCATCCACAACATGGAACCTCAGAGAGGGCGAGCGGGGGGGGTGCTGGAAGAATTTTCCTTCAAAAGGGACCCTTTGGTGGTTTCCATGTTAGTGGACCAGAGCGTACCAGACTCGCAGAACGCATTCTGGTCCCTAGAGGTTTACGGATGGTTTACGGTGGTGCACGAGAGGAGAGTTTGCCGTTTGCCATCCTACACACAAGCAACACAGTGACAGTGTTTTACATGTTTAAGACCATTTCAATTCAGTGGCAAGCACAAGCAACAAGTTCGGACTTGCGTTGGCCACTCCGAGCTTCTGTCAGGTTTGCGATCAATTGTGAGACATGAGTCTAGCATGATTCATCATGACTCTAAGGCAACTAGGTTTCAGCCTCAAAGAAAATACAGTGTGCACCTGCAAACGTGCCCCCAGCCACACCTCACCTTTGAATTGGGTTCATCAAGCTATGTTTGTGTTATATGGGGGGTGCATAAGGGTAAGTATATGCACACATTGTCCATGTGTATGTGTATATATATATATATATGTGTAAATAGAATTTGTATTTGGGGCACGAACAATTGGCACGATTATTTCCCTAGAGCCCTTAGCAAAGTTGGCGGAAACCACCCAGTCGCAGGAAAAGAAAGGGGAGTCAAGATTAAGCTGCAATGCCAATGGTTAGTTAACTCCCACAAGCCTGGCTGGTTGCACAGTTGCCCCTTCGAAGGAAGACTACTTTGCTCTTTGAGGGTAATGGTTTGGAATGGCTTGATCATGTTAAAACTGGTGGATGGCTTTGTCCTGTCAGCGGATCGCATGATGCGCATTCAGCTTGCAGAAGGTGTATGTGGCGGCTTCTCAAGGATCCAGGGACCCAGTGGATCACAATATACTCCCACACGGCACCACGGAACACCCAAAAGGAGATTCCTCTAAAACTGACAGTTTTTTAGTTCCACGTTAAATTGCAGGGGATCTGGATATGATTCACGGGTTGTGTCCGTCCACCGGGCGTTCATTGCTTTGCGGTTTCATGTTAGCCCGGGGAGTGTGGGATTCCATCAAAGGAATCTGACTTATTTGCCAGATGCAAATTGGGTTCCTCAAAGTGACGAACTTCGAGGGGTTCTGAAAATTACTTCTAGGGCAGGTTTTCCCTTTTTGGGGGTTCTGCATCGTTTAGGTTTACGGGGTCCAAGAAACACGGCTGCGGCTTCCAGGATCTCCGTTGTTACGGCTTGAGGTTCACCCCATTGGGACAAACGTATCATATCTCCGTATATACACACGAGGTAGTTTGGGAGCACCTCTTTCATCTTGAGTTGGCCCAAAATGTGGGTGACTGAATCGCTTCGTCCAAGGATTCAACGCAGCAGTGACAGCGATGATCGAGAGGATACCGCAGATCCAGGAGGGTCCTCGGATGACGCGAGGGACTATGAGGCAGGCCCACCTAACCTGGGCCCAGCCCAACAGCGAATGTGAAACCAAGTATTCTTTGTTCTTGGCATGTGAGCCAAAGTGCGCAGTCTCAGTGACCCTGCGACTCAGGCCGTGATTATTTGCTACTGGTGAGACAAAGTAAAAACGATACTTTACCGCAATTTTCTGAAAGAGGGCACAAAGCTTGAGGCTTACAGAGACTTGCGGCTAAAATGTCGCTCTCAGAGTCTTGCGCCTCAGTTTTTTTGACACGGACTTTGTCAAGATTCCCAAGCTCAGACTCAAGTTTTGCAACTCGAAACTTCCCAGGGCAGCGTTTGTTTTCGAGTGGTCGACCCTCAAAAACTATAAGCACTCGTGGCTTTCTGCTTGTTGTCACTAGGCTGCAGAGAGAGAGAGAGAGAGAAAGACAGAGAGAGAAACAAAATAAAGAAGAACAAAACAAACAAAAAAGAGAGGTGGCATAGAGAGAGAGAGAGAGGAGAAAGAGACAGAGGATATGAAGTGGAACAGAGACAGAGAGAGAGAGAGAGATAGAGAGAGAGAGAGAGAGACCGAGAGACAGAGAGACACAGAGAAAGGGAGACACAGAAGGGGAACAGAAGCGTGCTCCAAACTATAGTTCATATATTTTGAAACTTGAGCTGCAAACCATGGTGACTAACCCCAGCTTCTTCCGAGTCTGGCACCCGTTACCGAATCCCGGAAGGCAGACGATGCGGATGACGATGCGAACAGCTTACGTGCGGGCACGGAACTGGAAGACGGCAGTGCTAGCGGCACAGGTTCCGCAGCTTGGCTCACGCCCTGAGTTCCTGGACTTTGCTGTGGTGTATACTTTTGAGCAGGCTCACTCCCTGAATTCCGGCCTGGACTTCTCAGTCGTTGGGAAACTTTTCTGGAAGTTATCCCCTTCAAGTCACCAGAACATGTACTAGTGGAGGACCATGGAAAGTGCCAAGCAAGAGTTCTTGTCGACCCGGATTAACAGAATTGGGGGTTATTCAGGGTGCTTCCTCAATAGTGAGATTGGACCCCCCCCCCCTTGCCCCATCAGTGTAGCCAAGCAGGGGGTTGATCATTCAGGTGCTTCCTTACTCATGGAAGGTTTGGACCTACCAAATAGGTTCTTAAGATTGATTGCCTTGATTGGTGTGGTTTGGTCCAGGTGCGCGTTGATGCCACCATGCAATGTGTCAAGGTGCTAAGTGACATGCCTGTCAAGTTAAGAAACCTCAAGCTGTTCGCTGGTAGAGCACTCCATTACTTTAGAGCCTCCGGCTCAGTCCGCCGACATTGTCCTCTCCCTTTTCTCCTTCTTCCTCTCTTCCTTGTCTCCCTTGTGTGTTCTGTCGTCCTCTCTCCCTCCCTCTGCTCCCATCCTCCCCATCCCCCCAAGCCTCTCTCTCCCCACTCTCCCTCTCTCGTATGTATGCATGCATGTACTATGTATGTATGTATGTATGTATGTATGTATGTATGTAATGTAATGTAATGTAATGTAATGTAATGTAATGTAATGTAATGTAATGTAATGTAATTGTAATGTATGTATGTATGTATGTATGTATGTATGTATGTAATGTATGTATGGTATGTAATGGTAATGTAATGTATGTAATGTATGTAATGTATGTAAATGTAATGTAATGTAATGTAATGTAATGTATGTATGTATGTATGTATGTATGTAATGTATGTAATGTATGTATGTATGTATGTATGTATGTATGTATGTATGTATGTATGTATGTATGTATGTATGTATGTATGTATGTATGTATGTATGTATGTATGTATGTATGTATGTATGTATGTATGTATGTATGTATGTATGTATGTATGTATGTATGTATGTATGTATGTATGTATGTATGTATGTATGTATGTATGTATGTATGTATGTATGTATGTATGTATGTATGTATGTATGTATGTATGTATGTATGTATGTATGTATGTATGTATGTATGTATGTATGTATGTATGTATGTATGTATGTATGTATGTATGTATGTATGTATGTATGTATGTATGTATGTATGTATGTAATGTATGTAATGTATGTATGTATGTATGTATGTATGTATGTATGTATGTATGTATGTATGTATGTATGTAATGTATGTATGTATGTATGTATGTATGTATGTATGTATGTATGTATGTATGTATGTATGTATGTATGTATGTATGTATGTATGTATGTATGTATGTATGTATGTATGTATGTATGTATGTATGTATGTATGTATGTATGTATGTAATGTATGTATGTATGTATGTATGTATGTATGTATGTATGTATGTATGTATGTATGTATGTATGTATGTATGTATGTATGTATGTATGTATGTATGTATGTATGTATGTATGTATGTATGTATGTATGTATGTATGTATGTATGTATGTAATGTAATGTAATGTAATGTAATGTAATGTAATGTATGTATGTATGTATGTATGTATGTATGTATGTATGTATGTATGTATGTATGTATGTATGTATGTATGTATGTATGTATGTATGTATGTATGTATGTATGTATGTATGTATGTATGTATGTATGTATGTATGTATGTATGTATGTATGTATGTATGTATGTATGTATGTATGTATGTATGTATGTATGTATGTATGTATGTATGTATGTATGTATGTATGTATGTATGTATGTATGTATGTATGTATGTATGTATGTATGTATGTATGTATGTATGTATGTATGTATGTATGTATGTATGTATGTATGTATGTATGTATGTATGTATGTATGTATGTATGTATGTATGTATGTATGTATGTATGTATGTATGTATGTATGTATGTAATGTATGTATGTATGTATGTATGTATGTAATGTAATGTATGTATGTATGTATGTATGTATGTATGTATGTATGTATGTATGTATGTATGTATGTATGTAATGTAATGTAATGTAATGTAATGTATGTATGTATGTATGTATGTATGTATGTATGTAATGTATGTATGTATGTATGTATGTAATGTATGTATGTATGTATGTATGTATGTATGTATGTATGTATGTATGTATGTATGTATGTATGTATGTATGTATGTATGTATGTATGTATGTATGTATGTATGTATGTATGTATGTATGTATGTATGTATGTATGTATGTATGTATGTATGTATGTATGTAATGTAATGTAATGTATGTATGTATGTATGTATGTATGTATGTATGTATGTATGTATGTATGTATGTATGTATGTATGTATGTATGTATGTATGTATGTATGTAATGTATGTATGTATGTATGTATGTATGTATGTATGTATGTATGTATGTATGTATGTATGTATGTATGTATGTATGTATGTATGTATGTATGTATGTATGTATGTATGTATGTATGTATGTATGTATGTATGTATGTATGTATGTATGTATGTATGTATGTATGTATGTATGTATGTATGTATGTATGTATGTATGTATGGAATGTATGTATGTATGTATGTATGTATGTATGTATGTATGTATGTATGTAATGTATGTATGTATGTATGTATGTATGTATGCATGCATGTATGTATGTATGTATGTATGTATGTATGTAAGTATGTATGTATGTATGTATGTGTAAGTAAGTAGTAAGTAAGTGTAGTAAGTAAGTAAGTAAGTAAGTAAGTAAAGTAAGTAAGTAAGTAAGGGTAAGTAAGTAATGTAATGCATTTGTACGTATGTACGTATGTATGTATGTGTGCATGCATGCATGGCATGCATGCATGCTTACATACATGTATGCATGTATGTATGTACGTAATGTATGTATGTATGTAATGTCATGTAATGTCATGTAATGTAATGTAATGTACTGTAATGTATGTATGTATGTATGTATGTATGTATCCTTGCACTTCCCCTTTGCTCCCCAGTATTTCCCGCAAAAAAAACACGGTTTTTCCAGCGTTTTCGCAAAGAGGACGTCCAAAAACATTGAGTTTTTCCAGATTTTCGGCAAAGGATGCAGGAAGCCCAAGCCAGCAAAAAAGCCGGCAGGGGGAATCGAGCCTGGGACCCCTGTTTTGCGACACCGGCTCCCCGAAGACTACGTTTAGTGGAACGTCATCAAATTGCCGCGCGGTACGTGGGGGACCCCCCCCCCAAAAAAAAACCTACGTAATAGACGTCGGGCGGGGGGGGGGTTAGGGGGGGGGGTTATCCTCTATCCTCTAGTAAGTATCCGACACGCCGAGCAATGTCGGCGGATACTTGAGTAAGGGCACCAGTAAGGGCCCAACAGGTTCAAACTGTTTCGGTTACGCAGCTTTACCAGGTCAAGATAGGTCAAATACTCCTTTTCCAACCGTGAGGGAAGCGGACAGACAAGGTTTCCCCTTGTCCACTTCTATGACCGGAAGAGTGTAATACCATCTCAACTACTGTTTGAATTGTTTGTGGCCATGCGGCTTGTCAAGCAACGTAATTTTAGAAGGAGGGCATCATGAGTCACAACCAGTTGGAAAGGCTACGCTTTGGCCTCATCCTAGTACGCACGCTCAGGGCAGGGCAGCACTGAAATGAAAGCAGTTGACGAACAACTGAACTGACCCTGAGACAATGGTTGATTCTTTCGGAAAGTGAACGAGCAGCTTTGCCATTGCATCAACTTCAAAGTTCTGGAGCAGTTCTCCGAAACTGACATGTGTGACCTGTGTGGATGTCTGCTTGTTTCTGTGCAAGCCATGACGCAAACATGGCCATGTGGTCAGGGAGGGCCTTGGCATCGACTCGCGGCACTCACCGAGGAAAAGTTGTGGGGAGCGAGCATGCCAGATGTTTGCAGAAACACTCACTTGAGCCCAAGGACTTTAGACATTTCTGCGGAATATCATTGAGGCAGACGGAAAGTTCTCGTTTGTTTAGCCAATCCAATCAGGAAGTGAGAAGTGAAGTTGCTAGTGGTTGCTGTG